CCAGCCGCTCAAAGAACGGCTGAGAGACAGACAGACAGACAGACAGACAGACAGACAGACAGACAGACATTAGTTTCAATCATATGTGAACATAGAGCTGCTGTTGCAGGTTGTTGTATGCAGACAGTAACAATCTCTATTGTTATTTTCCTAAAGAGGAAGGAAGGTGGTTTTATTTAAAGTTACTACATTAACACAACAGGACAACATTATTTAATTTAATACATTTCTCTTACATCAGACTAAATTAATTCAATCTAATCTAAATTATAAACCAGACACAACTAACTAAACCTAAATTAAATGAATCAAAGACAAACTAAAACAAAGACTCAGTTAATCTACATTTATCTAATCTTACCTAAACGAATCTAAACTAAACAAACTAATCTAAACTATAATGTATTTCTTGCTGTCTCTCTCTCTACCTGTCTCTCACCTGTCTCTCTCTCTATCTCTTTCTACCTGTCTACCCGAGTTCAAACATTAAGTTTAAGTTAACATTCTCAGAATAAATAAAAGTTAAAAATTAAATTGAATTCAAAGAGCTTTATTGATGCAGAGACCACAGACGACTGAATGGAAGACAAACACTCAAACTTAGAGTGTGTTTAGAGTCACAAAGAGCGCGTGTGTGTCTGTGTGTGTGTGTGTGGGTGTGTGTGTTTGTACCCTGATGTGCAGGTAGAGGTGTTCAGACAGTACTCTGACTCCCTGCTGGATGATGTGATCCAGAGCTTTGTTGGCTCGACGCAGAGAGTCCTCGCTGACCGACGGATCACACTGAGCACAGCGCTGCACGAACCCCCTGCACACACACACACACACACATTAATACACGAGGACCATGATCCTACACCTGCAAAGTGAGGACCGCAGTCATTGAACCACAGTCATTGAATTGGTGGTAACACGACCGCTTTTGTCCATTTTAAGTTCAAAAATATAATCAACAAAATTTGCTTTAAGATACAAATAAGGAACTTTCATTTATTGTTGATTCTGACGCCCCCTGTGGACAAAAGCAGTAGTCTTTCTTTATTTAGATTTAGACCAATGTTTCATAAAACAGGTGGATTCTGGCGGTGTTTTAACAGCCATTGATTTCAAGGTGAATTTGACCCATTAAGAATGAGAATATCTAAGAAATATCCAATCTTATCACTGATATTTGTTTATGTAGGTCATATAGAGGCATCTGTATTAAACTGTTTCTAACCAGTTAAAATCTCCTTGTCGTGTTTAAAGTATCAAGACTAAAAGTACTGGTTGAGAAGCCTTTCAGGGTTATACTATATTATACTATTATTTTAATATTATCTCTGAAGCCTTAATACACAAGCAGCATTTAAATGTTACAGCTGGTGGAAACTTAGCTAATTTTAAAGACGTTATATACTGTTGGATAGTTGAATCCATAATATTATAAACTGATCACAATTTGTTTGTAAAGTTTTAATCTGAAAAGTAACTCCAGCATCTGATAAATTTAGTCCACTGTAAGTTTAAATAAGCATGAAAAAAGAAAATACTCAAGTAAAGTTAATGTTTTTACGGTAGTTGACTAAATGCACGTTCTTTTCCCCACTGTATTATAGGGACAGATTTTAGACAGAGTTTAGACAAGTATGATGAAGGAAAACTGATGAAACGCATCAGTAAAATCTAAAATCTAAAGTGTGCATCAGTGTAAAAGAAGAGACATTTAATTGAAAATGTTTCATTTGCACAACAGAATCATGTAAAAATAAACAAACTACATGTTCTTGATAGTAATATTTTTCTCCTTTTGTCTCAATAAGGTTATCAGCTGATCAACTGTTTCCTGTTCGTACCTAAACGGAGGGCAGCAGTTGACAAGCGCGATTGTTTTGGACACGTATCCGTCCTCGTTGTCTCCGAACATGCCGCTCTGCATCCCTTCGTGAAACATCTCAACTTTTCGCTGGAAACTGAAACAAGATCAAACACAAGCATCATAATAATAAACGATCACTATCAACCTCCACAGCTTTAAAAAACAAAAAAAGAAGAAGTGTGTGTACCTGTACAGGAAGTCGGCCAGGCCGTTCAGGCTGCATTGAGCCACTCTGGAGCCCAAACTGTTGTTGATGGAGGCAGAACGCTCCAGATCGACCTGCAGCCTCTGAAACAACAAACACAGTCAGTAAGCCCCGCCCCCCTTTTGCTCTGTGCTCCAATCACAGTTGAGCAGCTCAACTTTCTCCTTTCCTGTACTTAGATATGCTATATGCTAAAATAATCTATGCTGGAAAGACAACCACATTTGAAGATGGTTAAAAGATAAAAGAGATATATATGGTCACATCTTCAGTTAGTAAAGCAATTGATACTAACTAACTCATCATTAGCTAACTACTTACACCTGAAAGCTAATGTTAGAAAAATGCGAGCTAACTAGCCTTCTTATTATAAATAACTAGTTAGCTAGCTTTTGCTAAAATTAATTATCAGATTTATCTGGCTAACTAACAAATCATGTGGATTAGTTAACGAATCTGCTTCAATCGTTAGCTAGTTATGTTCCATTAGCTATGCTATTGATAGCTATCTAGGTCATTTACATAAATTGTTCGCTAGTTAGTTACATCAATGTTAAAGTTAATGAAAAACACAACAATGTAGATTAGCTACTAAACTAGCGTTTTGCTCTGTAGCAAAATGCTAACCATGCCAGCTGTTATTGGAGCACATACCAAAAAGGGGCGGGGCTTAGGAATGGTTCAACCAGAAAAAGAGAGCAGTTGGAGGGGAGGATGTACCTGTATGACGGTCTTGGCGAGAGTGATCTGATACTCCTCGATGTGTAGCGACTCCATCCATCGTTTCTCCTCTTCGTCCAGGACCTGACTCAACTCTGTGGTCACTTTAGCCTGCACAGGGAAAGACCGGGATTTAAAACAAACGCACCTCAAACTACTGGACGTTCTTAGGCTGCAACGAACAGCAGAATAATTCAGCCTCCTTAAACCGAACCTGCTCTTCCTTTCTTTGCTTTCTGAAGCTGTCTTCTTTATTTTATTGTGTTGTTTGTTGAGTTTTGTTGCACTTAATAAATAAAGTTGAGTTTAATGTCTGAGTGTGTCTCACCCTGACAGAGTTGAGGCAGTCCAGTTCCAGTCGGTCCACGGTCTCTGAGGCCAGCAGAGGACAGAGCTCAGAGCGGCAGAACGGACTTGTGATGCACACCGTCCCCAGAACGTCTCTGAAACAACAAAATGTCGTCCATTGGTTATTTGGTCGAACATAGAAACTGTGGATGTTATAACTTCATTCACAATGAAGTTATAACATGAAGTAATGACAATTAATATCAGTATTATATAGGCACATCTCCTGTTGATAAGTTCGCTAACTAACTAACATTAAAATAAAAAAGCGCTAGCTAGCTAATATTAGCTGTCAGGTGTAACTAGGTAGTGTTTTGCTCTGTATGTGACAAAAAACTAACAAAAAAAGCTCTGTATGTTTCTATAAACATCTGGTAAGTAACTTTACAGGAAGTTTACTTTAACATCACTGTAATATTTCATATTTTACATATTTTATACATTAATTACTTTTTTTATCCAAGTTAATGTTTTATACACGTACAACCTCCACTAAACACCAACGACTTGTGCTTTAGTGTTATTCTCCTGTATCAGTCGTATTTTGGATGTTGATCTAGTTTGATCTACATCGTCAAGAAGTAAACTGATTCCTGGAAGTATTTAGTCTGTTTGGGACGTTTACTGTCTGTGTACCTGTTGTAAATATTGTGCAGCCAGTCCAGCAGAGAGTAGATGTCAGTGATTTCCAGCGAGGTGCCAGTGATGGCCTGCAGTCGCCTAGCAACCGCCTGGTGGTAGCTCTGCACGTACACCTGAGAGGTCAAAGGTCAAAGTGCATTAAGACGCAGTAGTTGTTCAGATATTTGTCAGATTACTTCAAACTGTGACACTAACGCAGACATTAGAGCCTCAGGTGTGTCCTCACCTGAAAGGGCTGGTACTCTTCGGGGTAAATGGACACCACGTTCCTCTTGGCGGCCTCCAGGTCCTCCACCACCCGGGCTCGGAGGCGGTCCAGGTATTTGTCCAGCTCTCCCTCCGTGAACTCCGCCTTTTGAGGCAGAGAGCCGTCGGCTGCCTCCTCCACCGCCTCCTTCCACCTCTGCTTCAGACGGCGAGGCCTCGGGCCCCCGGGGGCCACCACCTCGCTGAGGGCCCAGTCCTTATCAGTCTGCTCCTCCTGCTGCAGCACCTGCACGCAGACAGACAGACAGGTGAGGTCTCCACTGATACCACATGTGCCTGAGTAATTACCGTTACCGTGGCAACAGCACTCACCTGAACCACCAGGCCCAGGTTCGGCCCGGCCGTCGGGGACCGCAGGGACTCCCTGACCACGGACCACAGCTCCTTCTGCAGCTCCTCGTACAGCAGCTCCACGTCCTTCGCCTTCCTGCGGCCGCCGTCTTTGACACTCGGGCTGGCGGCGTCCTCCGGCTCGGCGGACTCGTTACACTCCTGCTCCAGCTCCAGGATGTGAGTGTCGGCCAGGAGGAGGTCCCGCTTCTTCACCAGCTGCAGGATCTCCAGGACTGAAGGAGACGAGGAGATGTTAAAGGACATCGAAGGTTTGTTCTGACGTTACTTGTGAAGCTCGCTGCTGCTTTAGTTCACTTCTCTTTCTTAGTTTTCTCCATTAAAACTATAAAAATAAACAGAAACAGAAACTTACTGACCTCAAGGTGGCGCTGTAACAAACAAGTTTATTTTTTCATAACTGTCTAAAAAAGAACTTCATTATTTGAATCTCTTCAATCATCATCGAGACCTAACCAATAACATCATTCTTTATCAGTGATTTGGGTGAAACTGGATCATATTTAATGGAGAGAATATTGTCTGGTTTTCTCTCTGACATCCTCCGGCTGCTCTGCCTCAACTCCGCTAACTGCTAATGTAGCTGCCATTAGCATTAGCAACTGAACGGGGCTCAGCAGCCTCCCAGTGAACACAACCTCATAGACAGACAGAGGACAGTTTTATGACAGCGGTACCGAGGTTATTTATGGAGATTCCAGATGGACTCGCTACAAGACTTAGCCCCGGGGTGCCAGGAGGAAAACACCTCAGTACTTTATTCCCTCTCGTCAAACTGTCAGAGAAACTGTCAGAGAGTCAGCTAATGGGGGGGATGTAACACACACTATTGGCTCCCTTACAGGAAATATGTAAATATGAGGAAGCAGACAACTCTCTGATTGCTGTTTCAACTGGACTTTAAATGAGAAACAAGCGTCCAAATGTTCGTAAACTGCTCGTATTATTGCTGACTGTATTTGTTGTTACAACCTTTAAAGGTCAACCTCTCCACAATGGACCCTCTTCATTCGGACTGATTAACATTCACAGCTGTTCATCAAATGAACCTCAGAACGACCCACGTAACGGCGCTCTGGAGGTTGGTTCGTTTGATTCGAACATCAAAGCGGCCCTCGGGGACGCAGAGAGAATCACTGATCCTCGACCTCGTGGGAAACATATCTGTGGTAAATATTCTGCCTCCTGGAGTTTAGTTGGAATCTACAGGAACAGATGAGAATTTAAACAGTGAAACTTGTGGTTGATTCCTGTCGCTGTGATCAGGAAGAACAACAACTGCTGCTGCTTGAGGGTGTCGATGGGAAGAAATCCTGGACCCTCCCTGAAGGACAGACGGGGATCCTCCAGAGACTGCGGGGCTGGTCGGAGGTCAGTGTGAGGTCACTCAGGGAGGATCCTCTCTGGCTGTCAGGGCTGTGATGTCAGCGGATGATGTCACGGCCGCAGAGCGAGGCGGTGACATCATCCGGACCGACCGGGCTGAGGTGTGTCTCAACGAGTTATATTATGTAATTATATTATATAATAAGAGGACTGAAACAAACATTCTCTTCAGCTGCAGACTGGAGTTAAATTTGATGGTTTTGCTGTACAAACACAAACTGGTACACAATCTCAATCTCTACTCCAATAATTACTAAACTTTATCTGCACTAATATTTATTTATTTACTTTTTGTGTTTCTACTTTTTTCTTTTCTCGTCTGTTATTGTATCTGCATTCTTCTCTGTATTTGTAAAACGTAACTGGTTGCAGCGGTTTACTTCCTCACACTGCCCCGCATTTTACCCACAATGCATCGGTTGGTAACTTAGATGAACGAGCAGCACAGACATCCCAGCACTCAGAGAAACAACAGAAACACTAACAAATCAACTGTGTGAATACTAACCAGCAGGGGGCGCTAACACCTTCTGTATTGCTGCGTCATGTCTTAAAGGTCTATTGCACTTTTTATTAATAGAAAAACAACTAACACCAACATACCAAAGTATGACAGAAGCAGTTAAAGCCATCAGGACAGCTGATCTTTTGAGCCTTCTGTGTTTTTGGCAGCTATTATTTACATTTTGTCAAATTAGCGGCATTAAAAGTAGCTGAATTAGCTGTTAGCAGCTCCTGTTAGTAGTGTAACTCTTCATTGCATTACTTTGATACTGAAGAAAACTTAAAAACATTATGATTGTGAGGTTTTTCCCACGGTTTCTAACGTTTGTTCTGAAAGGACATCAGAGATCATGAAATCACTCAGTGTGACCAACTTTATGTCAGATTTGATCACATGTGACAAAGTGAATAATATTAACAGAACTGTAATGCAGTTTACATGGAGTCAAACCAGGAACAGACATGACGCAGGATAATTAGAGGAAATATGACTCAGTTATTCATCGCATCATAATACTGCAGCAGCCAGATAGCACGCAGACACACACACACACACACACACACACAGTTGGACAGGAAGTGACGCCACCGCCTGTTTCAAGTGCACTGTAAAAATAAATACGTTGTTTATTTTTACAGATATTTTCATTTTTTTTTAAATACTTTGAAATATGAATAAAATTACAAAATATCTCGTGAATTTACATGAACAATCTGTAACTGTAAATAATCATAAAACAACTGCTTATTTTAGGAAAATGTCCTTTTTTCACATAAAAACTGTTTAAATAATATATTTTCTTTAATATATTAAACTGTTAATATAAGATATATATATAAATAAATAATATATAATATTAAAAGTTTAATACTGTTAATACCTTTCTAAAATCAGTGACATTAACAGTAATGTATAGTATATGTTGTATAATGATGGAAGTTGAATA